TACGATGCAGTCTCTCCTCCCCTACCCCCCCCCCCCCCCCCCCCTCTTTCTCTCTCTCTTATTAGTATTTCCATCCAAAAGCTTAACCAACTACGTACATTAACATCAATTGCTTTATAGCATTAGGTGAACTAATAGCAAGCCTCTAATTCTCTTGTTTCCAAGCAAACAACCTTTAAGGAAGAACTAGATATCCCTGTGCTCATGCTATACAGCAACAATCGTGAAGCGGATTGTTGGCAGCTACCAGTAAGTATCAGCCGATTAGTATCTGCAGGCATCAGCCTACAGTTGTGATCCTCACAACTGGCACCATGGTTGTATGTATGAGTCATACAATTGCAGTATTCAGTCATGGTGAATTAACTGCAGAAATGTGTTCTGACTAGGATGTAATATACAGGGAAAGTTCTTGCAAACATCAACTATCAGGTAGAAGCACCAAGAAGGGGAGAACGCAAAACTGAAGAGCATTCCATCTAAAGTCAAGTGCTGAAATATACACCAATGCATGTTTCAGGATCAGCTCCGGGGAAAGATGCATGAAGGAAGGATATTTAAGCTTTATCCACACACTATCCACGGCAACGAGGGAAAGAAGGGAAATAACATAACTCTCTAATCACCACAAAGGAAAGATAAAACCTTCTCTAGACCTGTCAATTTTCCATCTGTAAATTAACACCTACACCTATGGACAGATACATGATACATGCTTGTAACTCGCTTACATGGTAAACACTGAGACAGTCACACGTTTGCTTTTAGTCCATTCCAAAATTGTCATTCACTTCTTTAAATAGAACCTCCCCCCCCCCCCGCCCCCCAACCCACCCACCTCCNTGATATTGGACCATGTTTTCTCTACAAAACCAGACAACATATAATTTTCTTATTAATCTTTGTGTCTCGCTAACAAAGAAGGGGCATGGTCTGCGTATATTCTGTCATCAAAGATAGAGATCAAGCTCCTTTATTTTTGTTCCTTTTCCTTATCTTTATTCTATCAAGTTCGGATTCTTTCATTTAATTTCAGGCTGCTACATATTTAGACATGGACCTTGTTAGAGAATTGCCATCATCCACACAACTGTACAGAGAGTCATTACAGGCACAACCATGGCATCACTATCAGCTTCAATGCTCACACTACTACAGATGATTTTGAAGGCAAGCAAATAAAGCTTCATAGATCATTAGCGCAGATTTATGCAAAATCCAACTGGGTAATCTGCTGAAGAATTGAGCACCTTCTGATCAGCATACAGATACCTCACAGAAAGACGGTCAAACCTGGAAGTGACTAATTATCTATTGATAACACTCTAACGAAAGATCAACAATTCCCATCACTGTTCCTCAGCAAGCCATGTTATTTCGTACTTGTGGTTTGGAGGGGGGGGGGGGGGGGGGGCGGTGGGGGAAGTTATTGGGGGCCGGAAGGAGGAGAGGGAGATTTCTTTTAAATGCCAGACCGCCAGAAAGAAGCACTCATGCGCTTCTCATTTAGCTATGAGCAAAGATAACAAGAAACTGTAAGGAGTTACCCTGCTTTCCATCAAACAGTAGACAAAACGAAATTGCTTTTCAGGTATACGCCTAAGAAGAGGTCATCATAGAATAGTACTGGATGGTAGGTTAAACACTGATCAGATTTATTTTGAGCCATGTCTATTTGCTGATGGAAGAATCGAAATTTTCCAGCAGACCATTTCTTTGTTCTGATAAATAGGTTTTGCATCACACTTAGTAACACGCGGTATTCAACTGGAAGAAGACAGTTTTAGCTAGTTAATTGAATATCAGAAGCTAAAAAGAAAATCCTACAATTGTAACGATGTCACACATCAAATAACCTAAAACGTACCAATTTTCATGGAATTCTAGTGTTGCACCACAGATTGATACTACGCATCTAAGAAAAATAACTTGTGTTCATCGTTGACTTTTCCCTCATAAATGTGTAACAACGAAAAATTAAGAACAAACGAGCAAACAATCATCACAAAGAAAAGGAACTACAAAATGCAAGGACCATATATTCAAAGCTAGGAACTAACCTCTTTCAGCAACTCAATCATCCTTTGATATGCAGCTAAACCAAAGAGATAAAATGACTGCTTCGAATCTTTTGAATTTTCCCGTTCCTATTGCAATCTAGTCCACATCCACATTGTGGACAAACCAAGAAATTGTCAAGTGAAAAGCTTGCAGAAGCAATCCCCACAGAAAAGTCAAGATTGTCACCGTTTTTAACGACCTCCACAATGTTGAGCCACAAAAATAGAACTTTTACACTAACACCAGATAAGCTCGTGAGCTTATTTTTAGCTATGTACCCACTGATCCTCGATTTATACCTCAGTTGATAAGAACCTTCTAGAGAGAAACTGCAGGAGCCGTTAAGATAGGCATTGAATTTTCCGGTGGTTTTATCGAGATCGTATCCGGTGATGCCTTTGGGGAGAATTCCTATGGGGAAGCCATAGGACTCGAGTAGGTCGTAAGCGGTGAGGGAAGAGTTACCGTTGACGGCGGCAGCGGTGATTAACGGCGGTAACGTTGTGAGCAGGGAGATTAAGAGAGGGAACGCGAGAGTGACGGTGATTTGACGTGTAGTAGACATCGATTCCTCGTAACAAGGATGTTCAGATGCAATTTCTCCGACGATGCGCCGGCGATGTATGTATTTATATTGGCAGAAGTTTTGTTTTTTATAAAAACACTAGTATTAGTACCCATGTGCGCATAATAGTATGATGATGCTAAATTCTATAAATTAAAAAGAACAAATTATATAAATAACTATTGACATAAATTTAAATATTATAACTTTATATATAGTCGATAATAGAAATAAATAAAAATACAATATAATTCAAAAATAAATACTCCTCCCTCCCCTTTTAATTTACGTAAAATATTTTTCTTATTAGTCTGTTCCAAAAGAATGACACATTTCTGTATTTGGAAATAATTTAATTTTAAATTTTTTATTTTACACATTGTACATATAATGAGAAGTTCTTACACCCATGCAAATATCATGGCCCCACAAAACTATTAGGATCATAAGTTTCAAAAGTTTTCTTTTTCGTTCTTAAATTTCTTGCCAAATCAAACCATCTCATCTATATTGAAACTGAGTGAAGTCATACTATATAGAGTAATAACAAATAAAAATACATTTAGTAATATCTTAATTTAAATTATAAATGTCACGACCCAAAATCCACTAAGGGTCGTGATGGCGCCGGACACCTCTGTCAGGCAAGCCAACCGAAATACTTAATTAAATTCTCGTTTTAATACTCTTGAAATCTATGATTTTCCTTCAAATTTACCAATTAAAAAGATAATCGTCTCAAATCAAATTTAAATGATAAGCAGTTAATACAAAATACTTCATAACCATCCCAGGACCCGATGTCACAAGTGCATGAACAATTTCTAAGAAATCGAATGAAGTACAACAGCTGTCCGGAATACAAATTGGACAGAAAGTAAATAAAATTCTAAGAGGGAGACTATACTAGCTGCGGGTCGCCTCGAGGAAATACAACTCACCTAGTCTCCGTGTCACCCATACTGCAACGCCCAGTAGGCCACTAGAAGTACATGCACCTGTGCAACAAAATGCACACCAAGTGTAGCATGAGTGCGAAAACAACGTGTACTCAGTAAGTATCCAGCCTAATCTCGAAGAAGTAGAGATGAGATGGCAACTTCGACACTTACTAATGGTCCAATAGTAATATTATTAATGCGATAAGTCACGGATTTATTAAGAACGATAGTAAATTCGAATGAGTCACAAACAGGTAAGGGTTCCTTTTTATTGAAAGTCTCTGGATTCATAATCCACTAATTTACAATTTTCTCAAGTCGGGGAGAGAAGATATCGGTATCAATAAATATTAAGGCGAGCAATACAAGAATGCGCAACTCATGCTGAGGTCGTATGGCCCGATCCAACATAAATATAAAATGTACACTGCCGAGGGTCGAACGGCGCGATCCATAGATGCATCTATTACCCCGCTCGCGAACCATACATGCGACGCGGTTAAATTTAAATAAACAATCACCCTGCTCGCGAACCTTACATGCGACGCAGGTACACATAGAAAATACATGCTCAAACAGCAAATTAAGAATTTATCGGGGAACATTTATCCAAATAAAAGCCAATTCTCTTTTATTGATTTAAGAAAATGAAGTTTAATCCTCTTAGAAATTCATTTACCAATTCGATAGAATCTAAGAAATTCAACTATCAATAAGATCACAAATATTCCAAGTATAGCATGCTTTTGGGTCCTAGACTACCCGGACTTACACATATTAGTAGCTACGCACGGACTCTCGTTACCTCGTGCGTATGTAGCCCCCTCAAATAGGAGCACATAACATTATTTCACCTATGGGGACAATTCCCTCTTACAAGGTTAGAAAGGAGACTCACCTCGCTCCGAAGATCCATAACCGGCATTCCACGTCCTTCCGAAGACTCGAATCGATGCTAAATGCTCCAAAGCTAGCCAATAATTATGCAAATCCATTAATATATGCTCAATTACTCATTACAATTCAATTTATAACAATTCCTAACCCCGATCGAAAAGTTGACAAAAACGCCCTCGGGTTCACGTGCCTGGATTCCGAAATTTTTCGAAGAACAAGTTTACCTATAACCCCACGGACTCAAATAGGTTTCAAGTAAAGCACATTAGAATACCTCAAGTAGTAAGATAAAGTTTTGAACAAGTTGTAAAACAAAGTTTTAAAGAAAGGATTTGGTAAAGAGGGGTCCTAGGTTGGTTATCATATAGGATCACATCAGTACAATGACCGGTAATCACTCCTTGGAAAGGGGCTACGCGTGGCAATAGCGCACCGGTCATCATATCCATATCTACCCTTCTTATCCCCTTATTGGTCATGCAAAGCGAGTGTTTGGTCAACGATTCATGTTGTGTGCTGCTACCCGTCCCTTCTTAATGGTCCTGGAGAGAGTTAGGACCTCTGCCTATAGGTGGTTCTAGACGTACCCCTAAAGTTTTAAAAGACAAAAATTCTAAGGCGACAGTCAAAAAAGCATATAGGACTTTCACACATAATGGGAGCAATTTAAAAGGCTTAGAGTTTCCTCCTCAATCAAACACATAAGCAGCACGACTCAAGCATAGTTAAGGTCTTTTATTAGACAACATCCTAAAGTAGGATATCTAAGTGAATATGCAGAAACAAACAAACCCTTTTTTAGGTTCAAAAATTGTACCCTAGCAGTTGCTTAAGGACTCCTTTTAAAGCCTTTTAGGATCAGAAATTGTTAAGCGATAGAGACAGTTACAGAGAATACAATTTTGAAAACGCCCTGGAGGCTTGCCTATACGCAGGATACTGACATCTATATTAATGCAGAAATAAGCAAATTTTTGAAATAGGCTCCGTTAATACTTACAGGCATGATATCTAATGAGATTGGGGCAGTTTTGAAGAACTTATTGCAGAAAGTGCTTAATACTTAATAAGACCAATTTAAAACGAACCAGGCATGACCAAGTGACTTATTAGCCGAAATCAGACTGACAGACAGAATTGCGAGTAGAATTCCCTATAGGCATGATATCTAGGTGTATTACTGATTTTAGTCGATTTGCTAATGTGGCAACATAAGAAGCACTCCTTATAACTATATCTGAATTAAGTCATATAGGCATGGTATCTATTATTAAACTGATTTTAAGACATGATTTCTAGGAACCTATATGCATGGTTTCTGAAACATGACAGAATGTAAAACCTTATAGACATGGTTTCTACTTGACGAGTAAACAAACTTAAAGGTGAAGTCCTATGGACATGATTTCTATTTGGCAAAGCAATCAGATTCAAAGAGTAAAGTCCTAAGAGCATGTTTTCTATTTAGAATAAACAGACTTGAAAAGGTAAAGTCCTAAGAGTAGGATTTCTACCCGTATTACCCCAGCAAAAATATGTATCTATCCACCCCTTTTCACTAAATACCCCAATATCTGTTTACAAATTATTATAGACCAATGAATGAATTACATAAATGAAAACAGAAAATCAAGAAGCTATTCAATAAGGAGCCTTCAATTAGGCCCAGGTTTCCCAAAGCCTCCAATGGTCTCATATGCCTCAGTTCCGTAGACAAAATCATAGTCTAGGTGCATCAAAGTTCCCTAGGGATCTCAAGGATCCCTGGCAATGCTTACACCTAGACATAGCAACCAAAAATTGAACAAGTGCAGTGTGGAAAGGCCAGCCTCAGTATGCCAGAGTTCAGAGGGTTCTCAAAGGATCCCAAGGCAGTACACATACTAGAGTGGGCAGAACTTATTGACTAGGAGTAGAGTGAGAAGTGATGGACACGAGTTGAAAAGGGTTTTAGTAAGAAACTGTGACTAACAAAAGCCCTTCTTGAAAGCAATTCAGTAGAGATTGTTTGAAAAAAAAAAAAGAGATTGGAATAGTTAACAGAATCCAAACACAGCTAGTTTACAGAACCAAGTAAATTCAAAAGTCACACACATGGGTCAGGGGGTTTGGGACACATAGAACAATTGGTTGCAAACACAGAACCCATCAAGGTCTAGGACTAGTTCAGACATGCTCAGAAACAGCTGACACTGCATAGTCACAAAACCAGGCATGAAGAACACAACCACATAGAGGGGTGATAGGGATTTGGGATCCATGGGATATAGTACGGTAAATATACAACAAGTAAGAGACAACTGGTAAGACGTGCTCAGAAACATACATAAAGGGAATATACTAATCTAAAGGAAAGGGGGAAGACATGATAACATGCTAGTAATGTGTTCTTAACTACAAGTTTCACAAAAGAACCACAAATAGGAGCAAACCAGAAACAAGAAGAACTAAAACTATAAGAGAATCATGTTGTTGTTGGAACTTTAAATTGAAACTAGGACATACCAGTGAAGAGCAGAGTAAGCAGAATGAAAAGAACAAGAGAGCACAAATGGTTAGCCTTGGCTTGCAGCCGGCTAGCAATAGCAAATAGCACAAGAGAGAGAGCAGAGATTTTTAAAGTATGAGAGATAGTTTTGAACCCAAGTGTTCGTTTTTGTGTTAGTGAAAGACTAGAGTATTTATAGATGAATAGGTAGTAAAATAAGGTAAGAATAATAGAAGCCTAATAATTGAGGAACTTAGAATCAATCAATTAGAAAATCGAGAAAGTACTCCCTTAAGTTAAGGTAATTAATTCAAACGGTAAGAAATAGTAGAATATAAGGCAAGAAGAAGAAAATCAGTACAGGACTAATAAGGAAAGAATCAAAGCTCAGTAAGCATAGGGTAGCCGATTAAGACTAAGTTCGTAAAACTCCGATTAAGGAATGATTCGGTAAAACTGAAGTACTACAGCAAATAAGGTAATGGAATCAGTCAATTTAAACAAACGAGTAGAATTTTAGGAGTTTAAAAGATAATCTTTTCAATCAAACCATCAGTTAAGGAAATCAGCATCAATCATGAGGGAGTCATGATTCTATTTCAACATATAAATAGAGAAGATCAAACAGACGTAGCAAACAGGCAAGGCCAGCAATATCGACAAAAAGAGGCAAGAGATGAACACTCAAGATGAATACAATCACATAGAGGTGATAGGTAGGTTAAAGACCCAGTAAAACCCATTCGAAGTATGGTAACCACAAAAGCTTAACAAGAATCA